TAGGTGGCAGAGCCTGGGGACAGGCAGCCAGCACCCCAGCCTCTGGCTGTGCCCCTGTGGGCGTGCATGCCACAGCTAATTTGGTGGCTGGGGAGCTTGTCCAGGGGTGACGGTGGTTGCTGGTCCCCTATCATGGGTGCCTCCCCCTCTGGCAGCCAGTGGCCAGAGCAAGCAGGGCCAGCACGTGGTCTTGGCTCCACTGCAGGCAGCTCCTGCCCTGAATCTGCCCGGGTAATTAATGGGCTTGGCCTGGGGTGGGGGCTGAGGCAGGGGCTCCTGGCTGGTAGAGATGGTGCTGTACCCCCACCCAGGCCCACAAAGGGGCTTGCTGTTGAGCAGCAGGTGCCTGCCAGGGGGCAGGTTGGGCTGGGGTCAGGGGCAGGGCAGCAGGCAACGTGAAGGTGACCACCAGGGCCAGGACACTGTCCAGCACCTGGTGGTCCTCCATGGCTTGCACTGCCATGGCCACAACTGCCCCCTGCTCCCATAGGTCCTCCATGTGCTCACACTCCAGGGCCAGGAGCTGCACCCTGAACTCTTGGTCCACCTGGTCCTGTGCCTCCTTGCACCAGTCCCATGCCTCCTCATGCCAGTCCCACATGTCCTTGTGGGTGACATCCTCTATTCACCACCTGTCCTGTTGGGCAATGTCCTCTGTCTGCCATGTCCATGCATCCACCTGCTGGTCCTCTGTGGCTGTTTCCAGGTGGCCCAGGAGGAGGGTCCAATCCTGGGTCCATCTCCTGCAGAGCTGGCACATCTGCAGGGCCCTGGCTGTTGGCAGCGGTGACACTGAGGACACATCCTGGCTGCCAACTGTGGCCTCTCCCCTGTGTGTAGCTGGAGGGCCTGCAGAGCCATGAGAAAGAAGCTGTTTTTAAGAGTCTGCAATATTTCTGAGATAAGATGCTCTGTACCAGAGGCTGTATGGTGCCTGGCCTCAGATCAAGGGTCAGGCATGCACAGGGGACCATGGTATGTCAGCTGGGCAGGCCCAGGCCCAGGCCCAGGCCCAGGTGGCTGCCAGCCAAGCCCTGAATCCCTGCTCACTCCCTACCATGCCCCCTGGGCTGGCGGGCCACAGGCAGCCTGCCTCCCCAGCCCGTCTCAGGCTGGGACAGACCAGACTCCTGGTAGCACCTGCTGCCATGGCTCCAGACCCTGCTTCCTCCCCTTCTCCTCCTGCAGGCCAGCCTGTCTCCTGTGCTGCCACCTAACCCATGATGCCAGGGTTTAGGGTGTGTGGGGCTCCCAAACAACTGGAACAAGGAGCTGCCTCCGTCCCCACTCTCCCCACAGGGGACCTCTCTGGGGAGGCTCTCTGGGGCAAGTTCCCCCTCCCTCTGCAGCAGCGTTGCACCCCAAACATGCCCCTGCTGTGTGTGTCCTGGGCACTGCGTGAGGAGCTGTTTGCATGGACCGAGGCGTGCCCGACCCACTGCACCCTGCTGCTGCTGGTCACCATGGTGCCCTGCACACACCTACAAACCTGGCACAGTTCCCAGAGCTTTGACAGTGCAGGGAGCAAGCCCAGGCTGCCCTGCAACCTCCACTGCCACCTGGAGGGCTACCTGTGGCTGAGATACACATCCCTGCCCCTGGCAGCTGAGGAGGAGGACATTGCTGCCGGCATTGTCACATTCCTCAGCATGCGAGAGACTGTGCCCACCTAGCTGTGGGGGCACTGGATGCTCAATAAAGTTTTGCACTACCCCCTGCCTCCCTGCATGCTCTGAGGGGGACAGGGGAATGAGGGAGTCCATTTCAGAAGCAGCATTGATTGTGTTACTGCAGGCACTTTTTTCCAATGCCTGCAGCATTGCTAAAGGCTTCCAATGCTCACTAGAAAAGTTAGAGGAAATGCTTCTTCTTTGTTGTGTCTCCAGTCCAACCTTTCTATATGGGCTGTTCCCAATATTCTGCACAGATCACTGCTTCTGGTGTTGGTGTTGCCAGATTTTGTGGGGTGCATCTCAGGTCCATAGTGCTACAGGGCATCTCAAGTCCATGATTTGCTTCTCCTGACAAACACACTGTTCGGTTGCATAGATTTCATGAGAAAGTTGCATCTGCCGAGACCAACTCCCAGTCTGTTCAGGCACCGCCATGTATACCATTTGTAGTTGGCACTGGATATCAAACCCTCACTGCGGGTAATTCCTCACCAGCTCCATTCAACAGCTTTGTTGCCTAGTTCCTCCCATTCTTTTTGCCAGAGGGTAGTTCTGGCTGATTTTGGCGATGTGGCTGATGGTGTGATACAGGACAGAAAGCTCCATGAGAGATGACGGTGCACTGGTTGATGTTTATATAGCAGGTGGCAGCTGCTTGATTTGTACTTGCCAGTCAATGTCACCTGCTACTTGCTTCCTGCTGTAAGAGGGTGCTATGCCAGATATTGCATATAATCAGGGAACGGGGGTAGGTTTTAGGCAGCCTGTTATAATTCTACATGTATCATTTAGGGCACTGTCAATACATTTACTGTGCAAGATAGATACCGCCCAACAAGGCAACTACTGGAGGCTTATCTCCTAGAAGGCCAAATCTACCAACCACTCCAAACACCAACCAGAGGAAATGCTTTTAATAGAGTATAGTAGTCAATGGATGAGCTTCTGCTTGCCACCTTACATAAATAGCCCTATTTGACTCTCTGACCTTGAAAGCAACCCCAGAAAGAGCTCCTAGGCTACAACTACACACAGCTTTCATTGTCTACATAACTTAAATTACATGGCTTTTAAAATATTTTGCTAAGATTTTTATTATTGTTATTTTGTGCAGTGAATGCTCCTAGCCACTATTCTTGCTTGCTTTTTAAAAAACAAAACAAAACAAAACAAAACATAGTTTCAAACCTAGGTGGAGTCTGATCTAAAAGATTTGCTGCATTTTATTAATGTTAGGATAGCGCAGGGTAGTTGCATTTACCTGTTACAGTCTTGATAGCTTGGCCAACAAGTTTTTTTGGTAACAGTACAACGTGAAACTTGCTGAGCTGCAAGACCAGAGCTGCACTGTGGAGCAAACTCTTCCTAAGTGTCTACATATGTAAGTAGATGTGTACTTTGCATAAGAAAAGCATAGTTTGAACTATTTGACATTTGCTTTTCAAAACACACAGGGTTCTCATCCTCTAGGACAGGGGTTGACTATCTATGGCCCACAGGTTGGATCCAGCCTATGGCTGTGGGGCTTCAGCAGCATTTGGTGGGGGATGCCTTCTGTGGGTGTTCTCCTCATGCTTCTGTGGGAGCAAATGCTGGCTGTGGGTGCTTTCCATGTACTGCCGGGGAGACAAGTGGCAGTGGCAGGGTCCTAGCACCTACCTTCCTGTCACTGACCCAAGGTGTATCCTTTCTGTCCTGCACCCAGAAAAGGTGGCCTATTTCTGCTCTGGGATAATTGTGTCTTCTACTAAATCATTTTGGTCTCATATATCCCAGAAAGGTTCATACCACTCCCAGGGATTATATCTCTTGGAACTTTCTCTCTGGATAATGTGACAATTAAGCTTTGGCTTTATAATACCAAAGTAAAGTTTTTTAGGGGCATGATTTTGAATAGATTTCAGTATAGTTCTGTGCATAGTAGACTGGGGAGATTGGGCCCTCATTTAGACTTGGGAGCCAGGGAAGCACCACTGGATTCAGTTTGGCACTGTCACTCTCTGATTCTGTTAAACAAACCGAACCAGTTGTTAGTGAAGAAAAAAACCCCAACCCAACATTTGTGCTGCAGCCACATGTGACACAGATGTCATAGCCTGAAGAATAGGTTTCAGAAGAGAATCACTGATCCAAAAGCAGCGCTATTTAAGAATAGGCCCCAGTCAATGGAATCTGATCACTGAAATTGGCTGGTGTTATCTCTTTATGACTTTAGTAGAGGTATGGTGTTGTCCCTCAGATGGTGAGCGATGACTGATTCTGAAAGGTCCAGTAGAAATCAGTGGGAGCTGAATATCTCCAATTCATTTTCTCCTTTTAAAAGCTGTAGATATTATTTATCAGTGAGTTTTTTTCATTTTCTAAGGTTGTGAGATATGGAAATGGTTATTTTTCGAGTATTTGGTTTAACACATCATTATAATACTTGGCTCCCTCTAGGAAGCTTATCTGAGATGATAAGTCTGCTTGTGAGCTGTTCTGCATTAAGTTCAATGGGAGATTAACCAGAAAAGAGGATGTGGTCTCAATTTTTTAAAAGCACTTTCAGAATTAAGTGCCAGATTTTAAAAATTGTTTGGGTGCCTAAATAAGCAGATGGCTACCCTTTAGGGTTTTAAAACATATCCTTGTGGTTAAGTTTCCTTTAAATCAATTGGATTATTTAAGACATTGAAATTCCTTGGAGTTAAGTGCCTAGATGCTTCTGCAGGGGCTAAGAATCAAGGGCCAAGCCCAAGAAAAGACATAAGTATGTAATGTCCACTAGGTCCTCTTGATGTGGCCAAGTTCAAACTTGGAGTAAAAAAACTCTCACTCAGCGGTCAATTGCTGTCGCTGGTGGAAAAACTGAAGTGCTGCCAGTGCTTCTCTCAAGGGGGCATGGCCAATCTCAGGGGGTGCACGTGCACCCGCATGCACCCCTACATGTCGCCAGTGATCTACCATTCACTAAATCTCCTTTTGTTCCCTAAAACCTGCCTGTCTACTCATGCCCTGAGCTGCCCCAGACTGAGCAGCTAGGCAACTGCATTTTACCAAATCCCTACTTAGGTCCAGAAACTAGAGCAGCATATAAACTTCCTCAGAAACCTGATCCAGCGTGTGTGCTATGGCTGGATTAGATTGCTCTCAAAATGTAATCATAGCACTTTCATTTATAAAATGTGGCTGCCAGAAAAAGAAGTGGGTTTACCTTTTATACAGTAGCTTTGTGGTCAGGAAGTGGGGGAGTTAAGCTTGATGCCCTCTTCAGTCTGAAGGGCTTCAAACCCATATCTCCCACTTGTCAGATCATGCCTACTCGTGAGGCTACTGAGTTCTGTTCCCTTTTGTATTCACTCTCTGGCTCCATGGATCTAGCGTTCCTTTCTGCACAGTAGCATATCTCCAACAGAAAGTCTAACTAGTGCCCCGATCCCAGCCTAGTCTATAGCCTAGTGCAGGGCTGTCCAGGTGGTGGCCCACAGGCCACACGCGGCCCCTAGTGGGTTAACCTGTGGTTCTTGGTCCAGGTGTTCTTCTCATCACTGTCCTGCTGGTACTGCTGGGGTCTCTGAGCTCTTCCTTTATCCTCCTGCTTTTCCTTCCCATCCTGTCCATGGGGCTAGGGCAGGGCAGGGCAGGGTAACCCATGGGGCTGAGGGACCCTCCAACCAAGGGAGTTTGGTGGGATCTGAGGGTGGGACACATACCCTAACAGCCCAATCTGGGCTAATTGCCTAGTTGGCTACACCAGCCTAGGGTCTGACTAGCAGCCACCCCAGGTAATGATTCCAGCTGCCCACTCTTGGAGCCTCCTGCCTAGCTGCTGGTGAAAGAGCAGCTTCTCTAGTTAGTCCCTCCTGTGGCAAGATGCTGTAGGTTAGGCTCTCTGAAGGTCTATGCTGGTAAGCCTCTATGATCCTGTGCTCTTTTTTTTCTGACCCTGCTTGTTCTGTTTCTGATTTTTGTGTTTTCCCTTGGATCTGGTAATTGGGTCTCTAGACTCTTGTGCTTTGATTTGGTCTGTATTTTGTACTCCGCCCCTGTCCCTGGCTCTTTTCTGGTGGCCTATGCCAGATCACCCATGATCTGGTTCTTATACATGGCCACTCAGAAGTTGGACAACCCTGATGTAGTGGTTGGGGACCGTTGAAAAATAAGAGACATGGGTTTGAATGCTTAGGTTGAAAGAAGGCCATAATTCAGGACCCCCTCCATTCTGGGTAAACCTTTTAGCTGCTGGTGTATTGTGCAAAAGGTGGGCTGTAATAGTAACAGCACTGCTTCCTTTACCATATTTTAGAAGGAAAACAATGAGTCCTGCTTAATCCTTCCAAAGAACTGTCATAGGCACCTACCTACAATTTCTCTACCTAGAATGCAGCTGTTTTCTTGCAGTCTTGACTTAGACACCTAAACTCTGGTGAGGGACAGAAATTTGACACAGTCCTCTATTTAATGTTTTCTATTGGACGTGTAGGCAGCTCCTTGCTTAGCATGCAAGCTCTAGGGCCCAGGTTCCTAGAAGAACCTGCCTTACTTGTAGGTAACTGTCTTTTATGGGAAGTAGTCTCAAACCGCTCAGTGAGGATTGGAAAGTGCTAGCAAGGGGGTAGAACCCTCCCAACTGCTCACATTCTGCACACTTAAACAGGGGCAGAGGCTTAGCTACAGAGCAGCTGTCATCTGGTAACTATTTATGTTCCTGCTTTTATCCCACAGTAGGTGAATGCTAAATCTGGGCAGTTTAGTTCTCAATGAAAGAGGAAACAGGGTAAGGCAGTTGTTTAGAGAATCTAAATTTTGGACACTGAGTGATAGTTTAGTCACTAAATCCTGCCATGCTCCCGTTGTGGGCCTAACATTAAGGGTCTACTTACTTTTCAGGTACCCAAATGCTTTTTCTGCTCTGTCTGTAAGGTTCAGCACAATGTTTATAGACACGCCTAGCATTAAAAGTAGAGGCATATAATGTAAACTCGGGTGTCTACTTTTGTTGTTGTTCTTCTTGTTGTTCTGCATTTGCACAATACTAAGCAGGGTGGAATCCTGGACTTGGATTATGATTTGTAGGCATGACTGCAGGAGAAATAATTAATAAGAATATCACTTAATTATTGTTTGAATTGTGAAGCAAGACATAGTTTTGGTAACCATGAATAATCATAAGTCTGCCCAGTTCATCAGGATATCTTAAAAAGCTCTTTTCTGTGTGATCACTCAATCTAGTTTTAAACCGGTGTTTACTCTGTAGAGCTACTTACGATACCAGGTCACTTTCCTGCTACCTATTAGTAATGTCACTGGAATGATTTTTAGTCTGTCTGGACACATTCAAACACTCTGTGTATTAAATTCATTATGTTGAGTGTCTATTCTTCATTAAAGGGCAGGCAGTAAACAGATGATCAAATAATGAATTTTATTTAAGATTCAAATTTGCCATGTTTTCAGGATTTTGTTATTTGGTTGTACAATATAATACTCGGCTCCTGCTTTATGGGCTGATGAGTCTGTAGACAAATGATTCTGCCTCAGCTTGCTTTCATCTTTCATAAAGCATCACACACCCTAGATCAGCAGTTTTCAACCTTTTTTAGATTCAGGCACCACATGGAAAATACCAGTTCTTCTTACCTTGCATTAGTTTCTTGGTTATGGAAAATAAACTAACTATTCTTCTGTTGAAAAGAAGTCAGGAAGTCCACAACAGATCAGGAGCAAGAATTCTTTTGGGTGATATCTTTTTTTGGACCAACTGTATGGTTGGCATAGGCAAGCTTTGGGGTATTACAGTGCCCTTCATCTGGCCAACCGTACAGTCGGTCCAATAAAAGATATCACCCACAGGAATTCTTGTCTCTCATATCTCTTGGACCATCACTGCAACAGCATCACCTCAACACTACCACAACAGGTCAGAAAGTTTTTGATGTTATGCATTCCTGTTTGAAATCTCTAGGTTTATCTTGTGGATTGTGTATACATGTTTGTATACCTAACAAAGATAATATGTGCAGCTCCTCATGGCACCCTTAAACTGATATTGTGGCACATTCATTAAGGATCACTTAAAAAAATAGAGTGGCTACACTTGAGTTCACATCTTCCAACGGAGAACAGCTGGTGCATGGCCTCCTGGGACCTCTGGGTGATGCTTATGTGCAAGAGAAAGGAAGAAGCAGAATGTTAGAGTGAGTGAGTTAGCAACAACTAAGGGCTGTCTTTAAAAATAGTATTGGCTCTCATTTTTTTAAAAGAGGGATTATCTGTTGTTGATGTATTTTTAAGCCTATCAAAAGTGACACCTGCTGGTGGAATTTGGCACTACATCAAAGTTAATTTAAGACTGCCATTTGATAAATGCAATGAAAGGAGACAATATGTAACATTGGTATGTAACACACTTATTATTTGTTATGATCCACAGTTATAATTTTGGTCATTTTTTTTTTCTTTTTAAGTGTTCACTAATTCTTCCCAAGGCAGTTTCTAGAGTACAGTAGTCAAACCATTAAATATTTCATGCACATATTTGTGTCACCTAGGGATTATTAGAATTATTTAGTAGACCCTTTTCTTAATGTGTATTATATATAATTTGTAAATAGCAAAAGTAAGCTTTGGCATTGCTTTGTTGCCTTCCAAATATTGAACAAAGGGACGTTGCTATGTATTTTGATTACCGTAGGCAGACCTGCAATGTGAAAGAAATTGCTTTAGTTCATTACATATTTTTGCCTTTGCTGAAAAAGCTCCTTTATCATAATCAATGGCTAGATCTAAGAAATGGCAAGCGAAGTGTTATTTTGATGAGAAACCATTATGATCTAGAACAAAATTGCATGCAACATGTTGAGAAAGTAAGGCTTGCTCTGATAGTGTTACATTTGGCATGATCAGTAGGAATGAAGAATGAATCAAAAGCTATTGCCTGAAGAAAGAGCCAATACAGTACCTTGCCAGACATACATATCAAGATGGAATCAGGATGTTGCAAAAGAGATGGGATAAGTTAGGGAATAGACACCTGTTGAGTTGGACAAGGCCAATAAAGATCACTTCTGACTGATGAAGGTATCATAAGATAACCACTTCAAAACCTACTCCTCTGTTTCACACATGAACCACTGGCCTAGGTAGGCCTTCTGTTCTAACTTCTGTTATAATCAGACTTCTGTCTGAACCTACATGCTTTAAAAGGAATTGACCTTTTAAAAGTGTGTCTAACTCCACTTATCACTTCTCAATTCATTTAAACTCAAAGTGTCTGCTGTCAGATTTAGTCATTAAGTATGCAAACATATCAACACTCAGGTTCTCTTTGTGAAGATGAAGCATAACATTGTTTTTAGTTGTCATTGTTACACTGGATATTTACGGTAAAGTTTTCAAAAGCACCAAAGTAATTTCAGAGCCCAACCCCTGCTTTTGGAAGTGACCTGGGCTCTTATTCCACATTTTTTTTTTTACTATTTTGGTCCCAGAGTTTTAGAAGGTATTGCTCTGTTCAATTTTGAAAGATCTAAGTACTTAAATCAGGGGTGGGCACAATATGGCCTATGGGCTGTATCTGGCCCACCAACTGACTGGATCTGGCCCATGGTGGTGCCAGTCGATCTGATCTGGCCCTCAGCTGCCCTCATTGCACTCTGCACGGGGTCTAACCCAGCCCGGGGCAGCCTGGGCCTGCTCCAGGCCAGTACGCACAGCTTCCACACACGTACTGCTCTGCTCCCCTCGCCTCCAGCAACGGCTCCTCCCCCTGCTTCTGCTGTGCTGCTCTGGGCTGGGAGGAAGCTTCAGCCAGGCAGCTCCTGCCCCAGTGCACAGGACTGTGGCTCCAGCTCCCAGCTGCCTTCCACCCCCATGTGCAGTGCTGTGGAGGCAGCCGTGGACCGCACCACCTGGATGGGCTCTGCTCCATTTGCCTCCTGCCCCCCTTCTCCCTCCCCTCACCCTCCTGTCTCACTCCCAAATACTGCCCCCCACCTGTCTGCAGCCCTATCCCACATACCGAGTTTTGCTGCATTGTTGCAGTGGGGCAGGGGATGCTGACCCATCCCATGACAACTTATCCAGTCTTTCTATGTGACCCCCTGGGCTCATATAATTGCCCACTCCAGACTTAAGTGCTTAAAGTACATCTTAAGGGATGCCTACACTCTGAAATAATCATGGCAGGTGTCCTCAGACACCTAGTCCTGCTCCAGCCACAGAGTTATTGTTTCAATGAGTGGCCGGTTACCACTTAAGATGTGATTAACTGCTTAAGTGTAACGCAGGGTATGGGGCTGACAGAGGTCTGCTTCTTTCCATGTCTGAATTCTGACTATCACTATGTCATCTAAGTGAAAGCAGGTCACTCATCCAGCTCCTTTATCATGGCCAGTTAGCTCAGGGTTCTGGGTTTCCAGCCAGCTCATTTTACATGAGACAATCTTGTCCCCACAGTGAAGAAAGCAAGTGACAAAACAAGCAAGTATGCAAACAGACAAAACCAAAACCTGCTGTCTTCCTTCAGACCTCGAGGGGCAACCCAAGTGCTATGCTTCTCCTTCAGCACTATAGCCTCAGCTTTTCTTCTTCCTTGCACTTTGCTCCTGAAGCTCTCAATCTTCTCTGCACCTCCATCCTCATTTATTAACCATCAGTTGCAGCTGGAACCCAGCCTTCTAGCCAGGCAAGCTAACCGTGGTCTGCTTGCAGCTTGTGTTTCAGCCTCCTGAAGGCTGAGCTGCTCCTTACACTAAACCTGCACACAACCTGGCTCCACGTTGACCTCCATTAATTATGTTTCTGTCTGTTAATCCTTCCAGTTGAATTTTATTAGATTTTTCTATTATTTTGCCTGGGAGCGATGTAGCCATAGACCATAAAATAATGTTTTCCTTTTTAATCTAAT